TGTTAAGAGACTCAGTGTTAAGTAACCGTCCACATAGTAAACATTCTTCCTCTTCAGTTCCATTCAGTCCTGAGAGCCTCGCAGAGTGTCTCAGACTGGGGCTCACCCGCCTCTGCAGCCATTTTCTCTTTCTTAATGGTGAGAATGGACCAGAGGCTCGGAGTTTTTCACAGCTGCAGTCCCTCGGCAGACTGTAATAGTATTCATTGATTTTCAAGGTATTCCTTTTTTTTTTTTCTATTGCTTTCTATTTGTGGCAAGTTTCATTTTTTAAGTATATTTATTTTTATTTGAAAGATGAGATAATTTGAAGGAAAATATGAAGTAAGCAATGTGGTACAGGTGATATGTGAGTAGGGTGTGAATCACCTAGGGGTTTGCAGGATGATTTAAGCTTGGCAAACATTGAACTAACACGTGAATAGCAAGGCTTTCCCTGAGAACAGGCTCAGAAGGTCGATGGGAAGACTACCGGCGAATGGGTGCGAGAATGCTGTCCACAGTTAGGTGGGAAAACTCCATCAATTTTATGCGTTTTCTGGGAGCTGACCCTTTCTGCAGACTATCCGGTGAGGCGAGAGAAGAGGAAGGACGCACACCAGGGCAGGTGGGGGCCGGGCAGGTGACAGCGCAGACAGACTGCTGGCTTTGCTGTCTTATGAGAAACAGACCGGATAGGAAGAGGCTCACACTCTTCCAAGGGAGACAAAGCCTTTCATAGCAGACGTCTGCGATTCTATTCTGTCTGGGACCCATTCCCCAGTTTCTGGAAGGTGGTCCTCCATTTTATCTCAGGGGAACGTCCCTTCTCCACTTAGTCCATGTGGTGCACACACAGCCCAGCTCCGGCAAGCTCGCTTGGTCTAAACCCTTGGTCTCCGTGAGTGATGTAGGGCAGAGGTCCTTACCCAAGAGGGTGCCAGAAGGATAAAGTCAGCAATGCTGACCTGGCTTCCTGCCAGGCCTGCTAAGCTAGTGGGGGCAGGTGAGGCGCTCTCTGTGAACAGAAGGTCCTGAGATTGAAGCCACCACCTAGGAAGGAGGGACTGACCGAAGGAGGAAGGCCGCATCCCAGGCACCTCCTTGGAGCATCTGGGCACAACTGGGACAGGAGCCCTCATTCGTGGGAGCCAGGGAGTCGTTTGCATTCCCATCTTATTTTCTGAAACATATTTGAGTTGAGTTTTTGTTAAGAGCCACTCTGGGTCACATGTACCTATTGACCTATATGGAGATTCTCTTGTGCTCTGCATGGCTGTAGCCACAGCTCAGCAGTCAGGGAAACAGGAACTGGAGCTGGACCTGAGCTCACATCACGGCTCAGCCACGTGTGGGCTGCAGGACCTTGAGCAAATCATTTCTTCGGTTGATGGGAACGTGAAGTGAGGGAATCCATGCTAAGCTCCTAGTAAAATGCTACCACAGAAGCTCTGGGTGAACGTGGGCTGCTGCTGATAATGATGGTGATTAAAATAAGACCTATTTTAATGAAATGTAATTCCCATGGCGAATATTGTTGCCCCCTTCTCTATGGTGAAGTGTGTGTGTGTGTGTGTGTGTGTGTGTGTGTGCACGTGCGCGCGCCCACAGGGAAGGGGGCTTGGAATTGTGGCATCCACATTTCCAGGAGGAGCTTTCATAAGCCTAAGGCTGCAGTCCTTGTTCAGGGGTGTAAAGATGCCTCTAGTGGGTCCTGAGTGACAACCATGGCTTTGGTAAGCAGCTGGGAAAGAAATGCTCTGTCTGTCCAGATGGTGTGCGGGATTCATGTGGTTTCAGATCCTGCAACCACCCTGTTCCATGCAGGGGCCAGCCTGGGGGTTAGGCAGACGCACAGAGAGGGACCAAGGCCAGAACAATCACAGAGAATCAAAGCCCTCTGGCTACACCTTGCCTTCCCTGAGCTGCTGATGAATTAGCAGATCAAATTCCAGAAAGAATTCAGCCTTCAACCGTTGCTTCACTCATGTGTCCCCTGGCTGGGCAGCCTCGCTGTAGTGCCTCTGCTTAATATTCCATTTGTAAGATGGACAGCCCCAAGTCTATGCTCACTCAGCTGCTCATCAAGAGTAACAAGCTGAATGACAAAGGAGGTAAGGATGTCCTCGTCAAATGTCCCATGCTGTCACCTGCCAGAAAGCCCTCGGCAGTCAGTGTCCGAGATGGCTCCCCATGGAGGAATCTCTCTGAAGTGCTCTGCTATCTCCACGACTAAAACATAATCTCTGGCTCCAGAGAGCTCTGGGGCTCTGACCCTTGTTCAGCCCATGTTCCTGGTCATCGTCAGCCCCAGGACTGAGGCTTGAACAGGTTCAGGGACAGCTATCTGTGAAAATCAGATTGATGCATCTGATTACATGGCCTGTTAACATCTGCAAAAAATAAGAGAAGAATCATTTACCTGTCACAGCTTTGAGACACCGTCACAAACTGGTGCTGACACCTCCTCTTTTCACCTTGGAGAGGTACAGAGTGAAGAGCAGAGCATGACACACTTAATAGATTGCTGAGCATTCACAGAGCTGCTTGTTACCCAGCTCAAGAGCCATGTCCAACTGCTACAGTGTTCATCAAAGGCAAGAAGCCACAAGGAGCAAGTCAGTGCTGCAATTCATTAAGGCAACTTGACCTCTGGGGAGAGGAGAGGAAAAAGGAGCTAGCAGTATTGATTGCTTATGTTTCCTCAAGTGTGGTATCATGGCATAAAATGACATTGAATGGCAGGGTGAGAAAGCCACACATTGTAGTCTCAAAGCTCTTGCTTTGCCTTTAGAGACTACATAGGATGTCTCTGCTGGTGCTAGGTGACCTGAGACACCTGGAAAAGCCAGAAAGCTGTCGGCAGTGTCCGAGGGGGCTCCCCATGCAGGAATCTCTCTGAAGTGCTTTGTGATCTCTACAACTAAAACATAATCTCTGGCCCCAAAGAGCTCCGGAGCGCTGATCCCGTGTTTGGCCCATGCTCCTGGTCTTCAGCCCCAGGACTGAGGCTTGAACAGGCTCAGGGGCAGCTGTCTATGAAAATCAGATTGATGCATCTGAGTACATGGCCTGTTAACATCTGCAAAAAATAAGATAAAATAAGAATTGCCTTTGACACCCTTTCCTAACACAAACAGAGTGGGCCTTAGGATGGCAGCTTCTGCAGGTGACTGTGCTAAGAGGTTACTAACACTGTTTAAAGGTGTTTCATCCATTTAAAAAAATAGACTTTAACTTTTAGAGTAGTTTTAGGTACACAGTAAAATGGAGTGGAAAGTGCAGAGATTTCTCATTTACCTTCTGCCCTCACCCACACGCAACCTCCACCGTTATCACAGTTCCTCCCAGGGTGGTTCATTTGTTGTAACTGATGACCCGACATTGACATAGGGATGACATCTAGTTTGCATTAGGGCTCACTGTTGGTGTCGCACATTCTATGGGTTTGGACAAATGCAGAATCCTATATATCCTCTATACAGGATCCTACAACGCAGTCTCACTGACCTAAAAATCCCCTGGGCTCTGCCCACTCATCCTTCCATCCCGCTAACCCCTGGCAACCACTGGCCTTTTCACTGTCCCCATAATTATGCTTTTTTCAAAATCACACAATACGAAGCCTCTTCATATTGGCTTCTTTCATCTAGCAAAATGAGTTTCAGTCTTTCCCACTGTCTTTTCATGACTTGATAGCTAATCTTTGTTTCATGTATTTTTAAGGTTATGCACCAGTTATGGGAAGTGGTGTTAGTTTTCCGCTTATAGGAGTGATGTATAGTTTTCATGTTCTTTGATTTGACGATTAACTTCTTTTTAATATATAATTGTTTTGTTTATTTTTGGCCAGATAGGACACTCACTCAGCTCAAAAATCAATGTAAATAAAAAGGTTCATATTGAAAACTCTGCCTGCCACCTGTCTCTTGCCACTCGGCTCCTCCCCACACTGTGTTACCGCTGACTTCTGTTCGTCCTTCCGAAGAGTCTATGCAAACACAACCTGTTATAAATATAGGTTCTCCCTCAACTGTTCTGTATCTTTTTTGACGTAATAATATATCCTGGTGATCGTTCCCTAACTGCATATTTCCTCATTCTTTTTTCTGCTGCATAGTCTTCCATTTTATGGATGCGCCACAGTTCATTCAAGCATTCCCTACTAATGGACATTTAAGGTGCTTGTGGTCTTTGATGTTATAAGCAGAGCAACTGGGAATAGCTTGTACTGACATCAACCCACACGCATCGGAGCATGCCTGGGAAGTGGTGTTGCTAAGAGAACATTAACTTCTAATTGTGGCAGACATTGTCAGATTGCCCTCCCTAAGGGAGTCAGAGTTTTTTTTAAATGATTTTATTATTCACAGATCAACAGAGATGATATGAGTCAACGGTGATCTGTGCGGTGCTGTGCTGGGGGTGGGTCAAGGCTGTGATGCAGGAGGCATGCAACCGACTCACCATTAGGGGCCGATTGCAAAAGCAGAAACTTTGCCAAGCTGATATCTTTCTAGAAAGGTAACAAAGACAAACTGCAGATTTTTAATCTTTAAATGGACCAGTAGGAGTGGAAAGGAACGGTATATATGTCTAGACTCCAGGAGAGATGACAGATGCCCTCATTTGCCCCCAGATTGCTTGGTGCATGGGGGCGAGGCTGGGGCAGGGCTTTGGGTGCAGCGTCTTTCACTGCTTACTAGACGTGAATGGATACTAGGTGCTCAGGTGGAGCTGGTCACGTCTCCAAGGGACTTCTGTTTCCTAGTTGTCTTGTTGGAGGCTGGCCATTTTGTCTTCTTTGATTCCGTGGGATTCCTGATATGAAGCTCCTTCTTGAGCCTGTGTGAGTGGGCTCCCTCCATTCTAAAGATCAGCCCACCCTGGCACACTCGCTGTTTCTCCCTGGGTGGAAGCACCCTCGGTGGGTGATGCTAGATATGCCTGCCCATGATTTCCACTTCTACTGGTCCCATTTTAAAAATTAAAAGTCTGAGGTTTGTCTTCATTATCTTTCTAGAAAGAAACCAGCTTGGCGAAGTTTCTGCCTTTGTGACTGTCTCCTAATGGTGAGTATTGAGAACTTCTTCTGGTAGTCACAGGGATGAAAAGGAACTTTTCATTTCAAAAATTACACAACACATTTATGTTGAAAATAATGAGAACTTTGTTGGTGCCCTGGAAAAATATGCGAGAGAGGCAGAGAGTGAATCCTTTTATTGGGCCAGAGTGTAAAAGTCAGCTCACTGGTCTCAAGGGAAGAAAAAGGTTTTCTCTTCAGTTGGCAATTTGTTTTCAACAAAAGATTTGGAATGCCTTTTTCTTTCCTTTTCTTTTTAATAAAGGAAGGATATAGTTAGTTGACCAGGAATTAGCTAGGGATTAAGAGTCGGTTGACTTGGCAGTATTTCTACCTGCTTGCTGTGCATATGCTAGAATTAACAATGGTCAATAATCAAAAGGGCATTAAAATGTGAGGTGGGCTGCTCAGGGACCACCCCGAGTCTACTTCTCTGCAGTATTGAGCCCAGGGGCCTCACTTTGCCTCACTGCAATTCTGCGGTTTTTAATTCATCATTTCCAGGATCTGGGGGTTTCTTCAAGCTCCCAGGCTTGCTCAGACACATTGCAAATGGCCATGATTTGAGATGATTTTCTTAACGCTGAAGCGGATGAAGAATCCAGGTTCTTTATAGTGGCAAGGCTTGTTTATCAGCAGCTGTACAGCTATGGGCAGAGACACAGGTAAACAGCACTGATGCCAGGAGAGGGATGGCATCCAGACTCAGGAGAAGGCCAGCATCTGACCGTGACCATCACCCCCACGTGACAAAAGATGTAACCACGGTGAACAGTTCACGGTGGCTTTTCACCTGCTTGGTTATATTTAACTCACAGACTCATTGGACAATTTGATGAATTCTGTATCTCAGCAGAAACCAAGGCACCTCAGAAGATCAAGGCTTCTAAATTCTCCTGGGGGAACAGACGTCAGCCACCCGGCACAAAGGAAACTTCCTTTTCTGTGTCAGAGGAAGACATAATTGTGCCATTTGCTTCTTGAAGAAGTTTACAAACATTTGCAAGTTGTCAAAAATAATTAGTCTAAAATTGTTTCATAAACCATGGAATGAAACAGTACGTGCCTTGTTGAGATCAAAGGGCTTCTGTTACCTTCTTGTAAATCCAAATGAAATTCTTTTGAAAGTAAACTCTTGGAATTAGCAGTGGTTTTTGTGGCACATCTATGGCAGGGGGAGGGGAGCAGAATGATTGAGACAGCAGAGTCCGATGGAGACCCGGGAGGAGTAAAGCCCTGTCCACAGAGAATGGAACAGGTCCGAACAGTCATGGTGATCTGTGCCCGTGGGTACGGGACTTCTTCAACAGGAAGCACTCCAGGAAACACTAGTTTCAGTGATCTTGAACTTGCAAGGCTGAGAGTGGGTAGGTACACTCACAGTTCTACAAACAAAGTAAAAACTGGGGCTTGTGAGTCGGTCGGACCGAGTTTCCATTCCAGCACAGCCAGCTCCTACAGGCAGACCCTGGGGAAGCCACTTCACCTCTGCGTCTCAGGCCACTCACCTCCAAAGACAGATGCAACCTCTGCCTCCCTCCTTGGTGAGAGGTAAGTGAGGTGTTGCCTTGGAGGACTCAGTTCAGTGCCCGGCCACGAATAAGCTCAGGGAACGGCTGCTCTGACACACGATTGTTCCTCATTATTAGTGACGGAAAAAAGCAGGTATTTACCGAGGGCTTCATCGGTGGCAGATGCTAGAGGGGCCCTGGGACCTCGCTCAGGAATAGGGAGGTGTCCTTTTTCTCCCTCAGGGGAGGTTGGATAGGAGTCCAGCTCCTAATGTAACTGCACGGGGCAGCAGCCACGCAGAATGCAGCTGCTGTGTGACCAGGTCCCGTGTGCACGGTGCCCCTAGAACTGAGCCTCACAGTAGCCTGGTGAGTAGGCAGGAGGGCACGAGAGAGGCGGCCACGAGAATGCAGGAGCCTGAGGGGGGCTCCTGCGAGCCCTGCTCAAAGGCTCAGCCGGGGAGAAGGCATGGGATGATAAAGAGCTGCTTGTCCAGAGGACGCAGACGTAATGGTGCCAAACAGCTAGAGTTTTCTCCCTTTCTCTGTGTGTGTATCTGTGCGTCCTGGCCTTCCAGGGAGGAGAGAGAGGACAAGCAGGGGTGAGAGGAGAGAATCAGGATGGACTGTCAGGCTCTCCCCTGGAGACCCTCAGGCTAGCAGGCTGCAGGACATGCCATGCAGAGGAGAGCAGGTGCGGCGGGGTGAGTAACAGCATCTGTCCCGTGTGCGCTGCTGTGCAGGGGCCCTCAGAGAGGGTGCCTGGGAGATGGAAGCAGCTCACACAGCTCTCAGGTTGCAAGGACCCTGCTGAGAAGGGAAAGGTGGCCCCTGGACGTGGCCTCCTGCGCACAATGGCCTGCCCTCACCACACTGCACTGCTCTGTCTGCTGGAGTCATGGCTCAGTGAGTGGGGGCCAGGGATGAACATTTCTGACCCTGCAAATCACACATTTGCTGTCACGTGGGACAACATGTCCTTTTAATACAGAGTCTATCCCTTTCTCAATTAAACAATAATGCTTTCTACTAGATGTAGACAAACTCCATCTGCTGATTCGTCAGATATTTACAGAACACTTACTTTGTGCTGGGTCCTCTATGAGGTGCAGAGAGGAGCATGGTGAGGAAGCCGAGTCTCTGCTGCCCTCAAGGGGCTCACAGTGCAAACTCCAGCTTGCAGGCCAAATCTGGCCCACTGCCTGGTACTGTAAATAAAGTTTTATTGGCACATGGCCACACCCACTTGCTTATGTCTTCTCCGTGGCAGCTTTCAGGCTGCAGTGGCAGAGTTGGGCAGGTCTGACATCGATCATCTGGCCCACGAAGCTGGAAACAATTACTCTCTAGTACTTTACAGAAAAGGTTTGTGGGCCCCTGGTCTAAACCTGCCCTATCCAAAAGAAATAAAAGTGACTTATGTGTTTAAGTTAATGTTTTCTAGTAGCCACATTAAAAAAGGTAAAAGGAAACCAGTAATACTAGTATCATTAGTGTTTATGTAACCTGATATGTCCAAAATATTATCATTTCAACATGTCAGTAATATAAGAATATAAATGAATTATTTTACTTTTTTTTTTTAAAGTCTTAGAAATCTGATGTGCATTTTACCCTTAAAGTCAATTTCAGTTGGGATAAGTCCCATTTCAAGAATGCAGTGGCACGTGTGGTGGGCTTCTGCCAGGGCGGCTTCCAGGAGGGCCATTATATAAAGCACTGCACACAAGAGACACCCAGTGAGGAACCCGGACACATACTGAGAGCCTGACGTGTTCCAGGCACCGAGTTCTCATCTCCCTGTAATCCGTGGAGGAGGATGACTGTCCTCTTGATTTTCTCATGAGGAAACAGAGGCGTAAAGAGGTTGACGAGCCTGTCTGAGGAGAAGCAGGTACCAGCTGGGGGGCACAGGCAGGGAGCTGGGACCCAGCTGGAGGACCTGGGGAGGCCTCCGGGGTAATGGCATCATTCTTTCTGGCCATAAAACATCTGGCCTGGGCTTCCTTCTTGAAGCTGTAGGCCCTGAAGCACATCACGGTGCATAGAGAGCATCTGAAAAATGAAAATAAAAAGCAAATTGCATCCACGGTATGCCTTCATGCACTCAGCATTGTTTTACAGCAGGGAGGAAACCGGCTGTGGCCTCTTCACGTCCCCTCGCAGATGCTGCAGGTGGCTTAACCAGCAGAGTGGAGTGGCTCTTCAAGCCACTAAACCAGCCACTGCTGGCATTGAAGGAAGATATTTCGATGGATGGAAAGCATTTTCTAAATCACTAAGGTTTGCTTTTCAAGTGGGAGAAAGCTTACCCCCAGTTGCTTCAAACCATTAATATGCTGGGAAAAAACGTGTGCAAACCACCGTATCAGGCACGTCGTACATTCACCATTCCTCTGTCTGACAATCGGTGTGAGTTAGTCTTCATCAAATACTGCATGTGGTTGCAGGATCCACCCATGGGCAGCACTGACCCTGAACCCGGAGCTGGATGCGTCGGTCTAGTCCGAGTGGGCCGCACAGCCCCGCACTCAGAAGGGCCCTGCACTGCGCTGAAGCTCTGCAGTCCTGACCTGAGATGCTCGGCACCTTTTCAGCAAGGACCCACGTTTTCATTCTGCTCTGGGATGGCAGATTCTGCAGCACGTCCTGCCTCCAGTCTGTCCCGCTGCCCCTCACTGGTGGGGTCACTTTGGGCAATGTGTCCAGCGTGTCATGGCTCAGATGGAAACCACACAGTGCTGGGTGTCATGAGCACCTGTGTAACGGACGCAAAGGGCTTGGTGTGGTCCTCAGTGCAGAGCAAATGGTAGGGGCAAGTGGTGAGGGCATGGGGACACACGGTCCCCACTGGAGTGTGGCACTGAAGGGGCAGCTGGGCTGAGACACCGTACTAGTCTGTTTTTCATGGCTATAAGGCAAACCTGAGGCAGGGTCATTTATAAAGAGAAGAGGTTGATTTGGCTTATAGTTCTATAGGCTTGCGGGAAGCATGGCGCTGGTGTTTGCTTCTGGCGAGGCCTTCGGAAGCTTCACAGTTTAGGAAATAATCACGGTGGAAGCAGACGGGGAGCAGGAGAGAGAGGAGGAGGGGCCAGGCTCCTTGAAACAAACAGCTCTTTTTTTAAAAAAAAATTATTTTATTGCATTTTAGGTTTTGGGGTACATGTGAAGAACATGCAAGATTGTTGCATAGGTACACACGTGGCAGTGTGATTTGCTGCCTTCCTCCCCATCACCTATATCTGGCATTTCTCTCCATGCTATCTCTCCCCAACTCCCCATCCCCCACTGACCCTCCCCTATTTCCCCCTAACAGACCCCAGTGTGTAGTGCTCCCCTCCCTGTGTCCATGTGTTTTCATTGTTCAACACCCGCCTATGAGTGAGAACATGCGCTTTTGATCTTCCGCTCTTCTGTCAGTTTGCTGAGAATGATGGTTTCCAGGTTCATCCATGTCCCTGCAAAGGACACAAACTCATTGTTTTTGATGCTCATCATCACTGGTCATCAGAGAAATGCAAATCAAAACTACATTGAGATACCATTTCACGCCAGTTAGAATGGCGATCATTAAAAAATCTGGAGACAACAGATGCTGGAGAGGATGCGGAGAAATAAGAACACTTTTACACTGTTGGTGGGAGTGTAAATTAGTTCAACCATTGTGGAAGACAGTGTGGCGATTCCTCAAGGACCTAGAAATAGAAATTCCATTTGACCCAGCAATCCCATTACTGGGTATATATCCAAAGGATTATAAATTGTTCTGTAAGGACACGTGCACACGAGTGTTCATTGCAGCACTGTTTACAATAGCAAAGACCTGGAACCAACCCAAATGCCCATCAATGATGGACTGGACAGGGAAAATGTGGCACGTATACACCATGGAATACTGTGCAGAAACAAACAGCTCTTACGTGAACTAACAGAGTGAGAACTCATTCATTACCATGAGGAGGTCACCAAACCATTCCGTGAGGGATCTGCCATCATGACCCCAGCACCTCTCACCAGGTCCCACCTCCAACACTGGGGATCACTGGCGATCATGTCTCAATGTGAGATTTGGAGGGGATGCACATCCAAACCATGTGAGATGGGCTCCCTTCGCGACTCCTCACCAGCCCCAACCAGGCCCCAGCTCAGCCAGGCTGACGGTCCCTCTGGCCCTGAAGGAGTCTGCCTGCCTCACCTACTCCTGCATCCAGAACCCACTGCAGCCCCTGTCCTCTGCCAGAGGCTTTCTCAGGATCTCTACCTCATTGGAAGCATTTGCACAACACATGATCTCCTTTGTTGTGCAAATGTGATCACAAACTCCTTGGGGCTTAAAACTCCCAGGAAATGGGCTGGGCGTGGTGGCTTATGACTGTAATCCCAGCACTTTGGGAGGCCGAGGCGGGAGGATCACGAGGTCAGGAGATCAAGACCATCCTGGTCAACATGGCGAAACCCCGTCTCTACTAAAAATACAAAAAATTAGCTGGGTATGGTGGCGCGTGCCTGTAATCCCAGCGACTCAGGAGGCTGGGGCAGGAGAATTGCCTGAACCCAGGAGGCGGAGGTTGCGGTGAGCCGAGATCGCGCCGTTGCACTCCAGCCTGGGTAACAAGAGCGAAACTCCGTCTCA